AAAATAAACCTAAAAAAGTATCAATGTATATGAATTCATCCAAATAAATCGAAAAATATAAGCGTGCGAACAAATTAAGTGTATAAAAATACACTATTAAATATATAAAGCGTGCATATTTTTCGACCTATCACAAGGTATGAAAAATAGGGCGTTACACTCTCCTCGATCTCTACTCCCACGCCTCCTCTTATATCCGTTACCCCTTCGACCACCACGCTTCCCCGAGCATCCTCGTCCTCATCGTCATCCCTATCACTCCTCTCTGCAGAATCCTCTCTGCAAGTTTTCTTTTCCTTCATCTTCGCCCAATCATGGTAAACAAAATCTTTAAGGTGTCCCGCTCTAACAAGGCGCTCGATCTCATCCTTGAGGTGCCAGCAATCCTCCGTGGTATGCCCAAAGTCTTTGTGAAATCGATAATACCTCCTCGACTTCGGCTGCATCGATCCCTTAAATATCAACCTCGGCCACGTCACATCTTTGTCATCTATACTCTTCTCGATGGCAACTTGCACCTTTTCTATCTTCGCCTTCAAATGGGTAAAGTTGTGATATTTCTTGCCTCCAATAATTGGTCGATCCCTTCACCTGTCTTCTTTTTCAACTTATGGTTTGCCTCGCCCACCTATCTTAGGCGATCCTCTCCTTGGCGAACTCCTCCTGGGCGAGTTTGCTCTCCCTTTCTTTTGCTCTGGCCGAGTCATCTCCTCCAGTTTAGTAAACTCCGCCTCCATCTCCACAAGATTGATATATTTCTTGCATCTCTTTAATTCATCATCAAACCTACGAGCGGGGGTTTTAGCCAATGAAGTTCGACACGGCCCCGCTCGTAGACTCCTTATCAATTCTCTTGCCTTAACCTCATCTGAAGTCGTCAGGATCTCCAAGCACGTATGATTGTATCGAGCAAAACATACTTTCGCAATGATTCCTTTTCCCTTGTCTCATCGCTATCAAAGTCAAATATGTCTTCTCTTGCGCCACTGCACTCGCATACTGGTTCATCAATTTTCAGTAAATCCTTGAAATCCTTGATCGATCCTGGAGGCAGTTGATGGAACCATTCGAGGGCACCACCTCTAAAGGTCGACATTAAAGCCCTACAACTGACCGAGTCAGAGTACCCGTGTAAAACCACCATATTTCAAAAAATCCTCACATGTATCGAAGGGTCGGATGACCCATCAAACATCAAACTCATCTCCCTGAAATTCACTGCAATGGCGCTGCCAATATCTCCCTTAAGAACGGTTGTCCCCGAGCGTGTCCCTCTAGTCGGATATCATCCTGGCATGCAGCTGAAGAAATTGCTCAACAATTCTCTCCACCTCTCGATCTCGCAGGGCACCATCTCATCCGTAACTCGAAACATCCTTCTCTGTGTGATGTTGGCCTCCCACCATCGTCGTCGGCGCTGTAGCAGCTCAAGTAGTTTGGTTTGTCACTTGTTGCACCGCATGTGACGCTGCGTTGGCTATAATCTACTCTATCTTCTGCTTGTTCATCGCCACCATCTTTTGGCCAGGGCGCTGCTCCCCTTCTCCCGGTGGCGCTACCACTTGTGCCACCGCTCCCAACGGTCGAACTCCAGCAGCATCTGGCTACAACGGCGAGGGTATCGCTGTCGCCTGCGTCTTCTGAGCCTTTTGTGCCCGGCTCGAATCTACCTCCACCACTGGGACCGCCGACGAACCCCCCAAACCTTGAGGAGCAAGTGTTGGGGTCACCGACATCTGCAAAGGTCCAGAGAAGCCCAGATGAGGGCCAACTCCAAACGGGTCATCCAAGCCTCATCGAACGACAACTGCAAATTGATTCTGGGAATTCCGTCCGCCATAGCCATCGAGCTCAAACAACTTCAGCACGCAACTTTCTGAACGAAAGTCCCACAGACGGTGCCAAATGGTATCGTCAAACACTCCGACAGGCTGGAAATAGGCTTGCCTTCTTCCCCCTTGCTGGTAGAACGGCGCGTACCTAAAAAGAACTCTCACACCGGAGAGGTTTTCCTGTGAAGGGCCTCTGATTCTTAAGTCAGTATAAGCCCTACTCAATTCTCAAGAGTAGAAATGGGTAAATCGTACTCAAAATGTAAAGCTCACCCCTATACATAGGGGTGAGATACCTGCTTCTAGATGCTGCCTGGGTGAGCT